TGAGGAGCAGTGGCCTGCCAGTGTCTGCCTGTGTTATTCCTCACCTGAGGAGCAGTGGCCTGCCAGTGTTTGCCTGTGTTCTTCCTCACCTGAGGGGGTGCTGCCTCAACAGGGTCGGCGCCTTGCCTCAGGGTTCGCTCCACACGTACAGCTTGCTGGGTAATGGCTTGCAGGAAATTCAAGCTTGCTTTTGTCTGTTGGTGATCCTCTCCAAACTGCAGACACACAAACAGTCATGTTGCTTACAGGCACTTACAGACAGGCAGTCACACTGTACTGTGTGTCGCCATGATGCGTCCTGTGTCCAGGCTGGGCCCATGTCTCTGTACTGTCTTGTGCTTGTGTGACGTCTCTGCGCGTCCTGTGTTTCTGTGCTGTCTTGTGCTTGTGTCCCGTCACTGACAGCAGTGTCTGTGTGCCGTGTGCTCACCTGAGCCTGGTACACTACCAGTGCTGCTTTCTCCTGGCTCATTGCACTGCGATACTCCCCCACGCTGCACAGCGCCTGGGCCAGAAGGTGATGACTGCAGAGACGGAGGGAGCAGGAGCAGGAGATGAGTCTATAAGTCCACTGAAAACTATGGAACACAGCTCTCTGGAAAAGTGCATTTAAAACAGAGAGTAGGAGGCACTTCATTACACTAAGGGTGTCGGGAGTGTGGAACATGCTGCCCAGCCATGTTGTTGTAGCCAGTACCCTGGCTTCTTTCAGAAGATGTCTGGATGGGATTTTGGGATCAGTTCATTTCTAACTAGGAATATAACAGGCTAGATGGGCAGAATGGCTGCTCCTGGTTGTCAGTGTTCTTATGTTCTTCACAAGGGACAGTCCAAAGATATACTGGCAGGTTAATTGGCTTCTATAAATTGGCCCTGTGAGTGTGCCCCGGATAGGCTCTGGCTCCGGCTCTCCTGCTACCCGAATTGGATGAAGCAGTTAGAAAATGGCTGGCTGGATGGTTACCTGAGAGCAGTCTGCGGGTCGTCACTGCCACAGAACTTGGTGTTGATTCTGAGCGCGCTCTGCAGGAACTGTACAGACTGCTCACCCTGCAGCAGCAGCCCAATAGAGCTCTGAGGGAGAGAGAGGGGTGATTAATGATGCACTAATGTTTACTGTATCTGCAAGCAGAGGAAACACGAGATCATAGGAGCTTAACTAGTGTCATCTTTTTTCAAGAACTATTTCAGTTAGGCTTTTGATCTCTCTATACATACAGTGTCTTGCACCAAAGCAAAAGAGGCTAAATATTCCTTTACTATAAATTTTCAACAGCGCTCAATTTTCAACAGTGCTCACATGCTCCTCTGGAGCTTCTCTTCTACACTCGCAGAAAGAAACAACAGCTGTGCATGATTAGAGTCTGCATGAATATATTCCAAGTGTTGAGCCTGTGTCTGCTACGGCAGTGCCTTGCTGGCCCATGTGCGGTGTGCAGGGCATGTCAAGCGGTCACTCACGTCCAGGGTGGCCATGTAGGGGTGATCCTCTCCGTGCAGCAGCAGCAGCAGCAGCCTCGCCCGGTACAGCAGCCGCCGCGCCAGTGGCAGCTCTCCTCCCGTGCACACGTACACCGCCAGCAGGGCGTACTCCTGGACTGTGTTGGGGTGGTCGAACCCCAGCACTCTCTCACTGACCACCACTGCTCTCAGCTGGACACTGCGGGCCTGGGGAGAGGGGGTGGCAGTGTGTCAGGGGTTCTGGAGCTGGACAAGGTTGCACACACTGACCAACCTGCAGGCCCCATGGTACCCCACACCCTGCCTGAACGTCCAGAACGAGCCGTTCTCTGATGTCTGCACAAGGCGCACACCGACAAAAATCAAACATCTGAGAATTCTGACCATCGGGGCCTGTCAACAGGAAGACCCTCTTTTAAAGAGCGGAAGAGCTGTCCCGTAACCCTGCCCCGCCCGACAGAGTTTACCTCTGCACTGCGCCCCAGGACGTGGGCGACCCGCGCCAGGGCGCTCAGGCAGGCACACGCGTCGGGGTGCAGCTCATCGCAGGTGCGGCTGAAGAGATACACGGCCTCCTTCAGCTGCTCGTACCCCTCCAGCAGCTGGCCCTTCTGCACGCTGGCCTGCGCCCCTAAGAACACGCGGGTGGCGTCCCTGGAGCCCGTGGTGAGGTGCTTGACCACAGGGAAGATGCCCAGGATGTCCTCCGGGGAGAAGGGTGGCCTGTGGCGACTGTCCAGGTTGTACTCCTTCAGCTGCACCTGAGGCGGATGGACACAGGAGGGGCTGATTCAGTCAGGCTGGCAGGTGGCCACCAGCGTCCGAGTGACTGTCAGTCAGTCAGGATGCCAGGCAGTGAGCCCCAGTCCCCCTGTCCCCCTTCTCACCTGTATCCCCATCTTCAGACACAGCTCCCTCAGCACCGATACCTTCTGCAGTCCATACACCTCCACCACATGGTCAATGCTGGAACTGCACACCAGAGTCAGGCCAACAGCACAAAGACAGAAACAGTACGGGAAACGGTCACTTCCAAAGCACATGTCAACCTTTAACTCCAAATACACTGAACTTTCTTATTAATAATTACTGTATCATACATAACAATTGTCAGAGTTTCATATTTCGTTCACTAAGAGGAACATAAGAACTTAACCAAGTTTTTAAAATTCTTTATGTGACATATGTTTTTCTTTTTATTTCAGTTGCCTATTAGTTTTAACTGTAACATAGGCATTAACGAATTACCCTTAAATAAAATAGCAATTACCACTTAAGTTCCACTATAACTTAAATGAGCCTATTTATTGATACTGATTTACTGCAGATATATAAGCTGTTTTAGAAATTGTTTCAACTGACCCCAAGTCAGTTTTGAGGTCATAGGTCTCCTGCACATCCAGACTAATGAGATTCCAGAGCTCCGCAGCACTGAGCACGCTCCAGCCAGTATTGTCGGAAACCCCGCCCCCACCACGGCCACGCCTCCGAGACCGCCGTTTTGGCTCCTCCCCTACAGGGGCGGGATTGCAGTGTGGTCCCAGCAGGCAACACAGGAAGTGACTGACAGCTGCAGCCAAACTGGACGTTTCCACCCCCTAAGGACAGACAAGCAAGCAGACTCTCAGACACTGATGTACAGAGATACGCACCGCCAGGGTGAGAGTAATGCTGGCGCAACACAGGAGAGAAAGTCGATCAGATAAACAGTGCTACGTCACCTGCAGAGAGTTGTTAAGGACCCGTCTAGCTGACCGGACAATCATCTCTCCATAGAGCAGTCTCTGCGAAACAGCAAAGTAGCACAGGAGTGAGAAATTGTGTTCCAAAAGCTCTTGAAATCACATTTTTCTAACAGTGACTAGGACAGGGAGAGGGTGGAGGGGTGAAAGAGAGAGTGGAGGTTGTGAGAGAGAGGGTGGAGGAGTGAAAGAGAGGGTGGAGGAGTGAGAGTCTCTTTGGATGCTGCCGTTGTCAAACTGATGCTCACCTTGACATGAGTCAGTCGCTCAGTGTGCTGTGATTGGTCAATGGTGCGAACAACCTGTCCCATGTAGCGCAGGTTGATGCCCCTCTGGTGTAGTGCCTGGGCCAAAGTTGCGCCATCTGCTGGGATAACATGGCGGTGCCGGCAGTCTGACACCTGGGGACACAAAGTGAGGTAAGTGTGGGGAGAAAGGGGGTGGAATAGGAGGTCCTGGGGTGCACTCGAGTAACAGCCTCTGCCCAAAATGTGGGATATGCCCTATAGGATGGCTGGGAGCTCCTAGTGGATGCTGGACCATCGGCTGAAGGTGCCTTGAAGTCACAGACGCCTGTGTCTCCTGGGTAGAGGCAGGCTTGGAGTGTTAATGGCATCGCATCCTCCAGCCAGAGTGACAGCTGAGCTGTGGACATTCTGGGATGAACAGTGTGTGAATTGGGGTGCAGATGGGATTGACAGTGTGTGTTCACAGGACACAGACTTCTCTCATCCTTCCTTGAAGAAACAGGGACAGGGCTAGGGGCCGTGCCGCGCCAGAGCAGGCGAAACTCACAAAGGCTGGGATCTGCTCTGTCACCAGGAATGCCGCAGCCTCCCTCAGGAGCCTCTCCTGCAGCTGCACGGCTCCCTGCTCCTCCTCCGGGAATCGCACACCTGGACACAGGGAAGAGCAACAGCTCAGCGTGGCTCCCTGACTTCATCCTCTTGTGAGCAACTTCCAGGTCCTCAAGCGGACTGACTGCAGCCATGTGCACAGGTACGCTTCTTAACCAGTATTATTTATTACCTGTATCTGTTATTTATTCTTTTTGAGATTTATATGAGGCGTTAATCCCAGGCCTGTAAGCATACTGTGGCAGAAATAAACTTTACCTGGTGAGTAGAGGTCAGGGTTGAAGCGAATCTCAAAGATGATGTCACTGACTGAGCCCAGCTCCTTACAGGCCGCTCTGATGGCGTCAACACCCTGTCCGCTGCCTGCAGACAGATAGACAGGGACATGCTTTCATATGCTTAGTAAGTGGACACTTCCGTTCCTGGCCCCCATCTCCCTCTCTCCCTCCTCACCGTGGTCAGGCCCACTCTGCGCCATCGTCTCTTTCACACGCTGCTTAAACTGAGACGACCTGTGAGGACGAGAGGGAGGGACACAGCTTTCAGTCGCAGGCTCGGTGGAAACGGGAGCTGGTGCACAGACGGACAGATACGCCACACGGGTGCCGGGAGACACTTACTTGTGCTGTATGAAGGCGCTGACCAGCTCGGGCCGCAGGCGGCACAGCTGGTGAGGGAAGACCCTGGGTAGGCTGAGCGATGAGTACCCCGAGGGCCACCCATCTTCCCCTTTCCTCTCCTGAGGCAGGAAATTGACATCCGGCGGCAGGGTGCGGAACAGATCCGTCACGTAGTACCTGCCGTCTGCGCCCAGCACACCCCTGCAGTCCGCGGAGGAGAAGAGCGGGGCTGGGTGGTCGCGCGGCGTCAACACACTGTGCTTCTGAATCGCCAGGCTCTTGGCAGCCTGGGCCAGCAGCTCCAGCAGCCTCCTGCGGGGACCGCCCTCCTGGGGGGGCGCGGAGAGCCCATACAGGAGCCGCGTGCTGCCCGCCGCCCCCTGGCCCTCCTGCTCTGGCTCCAGCCAGCCCGGGGCCAGGCCCTGCGCAGCCAGACGCACCCCCCTGTAGTCCACCACGGCTGCAGGCAGAGTGTGCAGGGCGCCCTGCCCCACCAGCCCCTTGCCCAGCTGGCTGTAGGCCTGCACACCTGCCAGCTCCAGCCTGGGCGCTGCGCGGGCCCCTCGCTTCCCGCCCAGCACGCCTCCCTCAGCGCCCTGGCTGAAGAACACCCCCCCACACAGGAAGGCCTGCAGCTGAGGCTCCTCGCTTGGGTTGATGGGCACAGCACTCCCGTCAATCACAGCCTCCGCCCCCTGGGTCACAGCCCACACAAAGCCACTGCTCACCTGGGACAGACAGGGAGACAGGAAGAGACCGGCTGGTGAGTCTGTAGCTGTGGACTCATACAGCTCCTGCGAGGGTTATGACAGTGCCCTCACCTGCAGCAGAGCCCGGCTCCTCAGCAGCCTCTCCTCCAGAGTGCTCTGGGGAAGATCACGTGCTGCCTGCAGCTCCTCGTTCCAGTCTGGGGCCTGACGAGGGGGAGAAGCACAGATGAACACAGTAACACACTGACACAGTGACACAGTAAAACACTGACACAGAAACACACTGACACACTAAAATAGAAACATACTGACAGTAAAACATTGACACAGTAAAACACTGACACACTGACACAGAATCACTCTGACACAATAACACACTGACACACTAACACAGAAACACACTGACACAGAAGAGCAGACAGTAACACAGAGGTGCACACACTGACTGCAGCCTCACCTGGCCAGAGCTGTGCTCCTCCAGCCCCAGGCGCCAGCTGTAGGGGTCACAGGTGGGACGGTGCTGCAGGAGTGGGGCCACCCAAGCTAGGGTGCGATAGGGCGTGGCCATCGTCTCTAACAAGGGTCGCTGTGATCTGCAGGAGAGAGATAATGCCGATACAAGCCAGTGGGCTCATTTCAATCATGCTGTAAAACATCAATAATCTCTATAATACCTTTACAGCAATTCTTACAATTACAGGATGCACATGACATCTTTATAACAGCTCTGTAAAAAGATAATTACTCCATAGCCAAGAACTTTATTCTTCCTGCTCAAATCAGTTGCCAGGTCTCGAGCTGCATGTGCTCCTGTACTTACAGTACTTGATTTCCTGCTGTACCTTGCTGTCACATGGCCCTGCAGAGCTCTATTTGCCTCAGCCCCCAGCCACCAGCTGTATTTGCCCCAGTGTGTGGTACCTGCTCCTCAATGCAGTAAGTCCCTTCTTGAACCTGGGACTGAGCTGAGCCAGCAAGTCAGCCAAAGAGTGGGAAAGCAGGGAGGGCGTGGCGGGTCGCGGGTCAAACTGGGCTTCTGTGGATCTGACACAGACAGAGACAAAGAGGTCCAGAGAGAGGAGTGAGATCACTGCCACCAAATAGTCCAAAAACATGACCCCCCCCACAACCAAAACCACAATGCAAACCCAATTCAAACTTAGGTCCGAGCCCTTGTGTGTGATGCCTGACAAACAGGGTGCTTGACCTGCAAAATGATGCTTACTGGTTGAGGTAGAATCCCTTCGGACAGGATGTGATGTCACACCTCTTCCCCTCCAGGGTGCAGACAGTCAAGTACAGCAAGTCGCCCTGCAGCTTCCTGTTTCTAGGGGGAGGGTTCCACCGGCTGAGGGACAGGTCGGAAAGGCAGGCTGAATTCTGGCAGGAAAAGAGCGACAATTGTGATGTCAGAAAACATATTTCTCCACCAGCCTACCTCGCACAGCAGCCTCAGATTGTACAGAAAGTGTATAAGCCAGTGCAGGCATAACTCAGAGTAATGAGATCCAGGCTTTGGACTCATGTCTGCATGGCTGTGGGTTCAAATCCCACAAAGGACACTGCCGTTGCACCCTTGAGTGAGGTAGGTCGGTTTGCATCAGAGTCAGACACACTAGGGAACAGGTGGGATTTGATCAGAGTATGTGGCACAGGAAGTGGGTGTACCAGGATATGGCATCTGTGTTCGAGTCCGATTACCTCAGAGTGTGTGCTGGCGGGCAGAGCAGGAATGAGGGACAGCAGGGGGCGCTCTCGGCAGCCTGGGAGGATGAAGTCTGGAGGGGGGCAGTCAGCAGGGGGGTCGACCCGGGCATCACTGGCAGAGCGTCGGGACCCTCGTCCGGGGGACACCTCTGGGACAGCGATCGGTTAGCTGGAGAGCGAGCTTGGAGTCTGACAGACGGAGACAGAGGCAGGCACCACAAGCACAGACTCTCACCTGGGACAGTCCCCTGTGAGGCAGCGTCCAGGTAGGTGGGCGATTGTCCCTGTCTCAGTGCGTCCTGGGGCCCAGGGCTCTGCAGCAGCTCCTGCAGCCGGGCAAGGTGCACACGCACAGCCTGGGGTGAGTACAGCTCTGTGGAACAGAGCAAAAACCAGGTTAGTGGCTCCTCTCCTCCGGAAATACAGGCAGCTGTACAGTATCCTGCATGTGTGCAGTGTGGATCCTCGTGCGTGCTCAGACACACAGAGCAATATGTGCCAAACATTATGCAAACCTACTACATGATCAAGTATGTGAGGCTGTGACTTCACTCATCTCTCAGCCTGGCCTGCGGCAGGGAAACCAGACTGACTTATAGCACGTCTACTATTGTTTCACCTCTCCCTCTTAATATGTAAAACATTGAAATGAGAGCAGAACATCTGCTTAATAGAAATACAAGTATATAAGTCTAGTATATAAGCACCTGAGCACCTACATGGAGCTGCTGCTTGAGCAGAAACAACAGAGCACGTGAAAGCACAGCCCTGACTCTCAGTCCTCCTGCTGTGATAATCAGGTGTGCCAAGGGAGCAGAGCAGTGGAGATACAGACACTCTTACCCTCAATCAGTTTGATCGTGACTCCGAGTCCAAAGCCCTTGGCAGCCCCCAGCTCTGACAGCGGTTCCAGAGTCACCCCGTGGAGGGACAGTGCCAGGCAGGTCCGGGGAACCACCTCCTCCCGGGCAAGAACCGCTTGAGCCAGATCCTGGACCAGCCAGCACTGGCCCACCTGTGCCCAACACAGAGGAGCTGTCAGTGAGACTCAGCCAGCGCTGCCTCCCTGGCCTCCGACAGGGACCTCCCCCACTGCAGCTCAGCCTGCGGCTCCAGCTACCCTCCACCTGACAGTCTCAATAATCCTTCCACACACATACTGTAGCTCTACCCCAGTGCAGCCCCACCTGGGTGCTGCGCCAGTCTGCTCCGCACACACCAGCTCTCAGTGGGGAGGAGCGCAGAGTGATGAAGCCAGTTCAGAGATGGGGGTTAGTAGGAGGCCATGATGGGTAAAGGCCAGGGGGAAATTTGGCCAGGACACAGGGGGTATCAACCCTACTCTTTACAAGAAATACCCTGGATTTTTAATGACCACAGAGAGTCAGGACCTCGGTTTTATGTCTCATCTGAAGAACGGCGCCTGTTTACAGTATAGTGTCCCCGTCACTATACTGGGGCATTAGGACCCACACATAATGCAGGGTGAGCGCCCCCTGCTGGCCCCACTAACACCTCTTCCAGCAGCAGCCTCAGCTTTCCCAGGAGGTCTCCCATTCAGTTACTGGAGCCAGCTGAGCTGCTCACACCTGCTGAGTTTCAGGGGACTGTCAGTGAGTTGCAGGTAGCTGCTGACCTGACAGTCATATTGCAAACACATTCTTCATTTTGGGTTTGTCAATCAGAAGGATAGATATGTACAGAAGTTAAGGAGCTGTCTCTAACGAATACTGAAGCACAGAAGACTAGAAGAGCTCCTACTGCAGCTATTCCCCATAGGGAGCAATATCAAGGGATAATCACATGGTTGTGGAAAAGGAGCATTCATGGAGACCGGAATAGGGAACCGGCATGCAGCAGCTGCGAGAGGAAGACAGACTAGAGGAAAGAACTCGACTGTCGACAGCCACACTCACCTGAAGCTCAAACGGTTCGATTCCTGCCCCCTGGATCTTCACGGTAAATGGCGCATCTTCTAGCCCCGCCTCTCCTGTGTTTCGTCCAGTGGTGTGCAGAGCTGGGCTCCCGTTGCTCTGCACTGGGACACCTGCCATGGGCAACATAAAGCAGGAAGCAGGGCGGGGAGGAGGCAGAGAGGAGAAGAGAAGGGTGAGGAACCGAGCTGGGAAAAGAGGAGGGAAATGTCTAGCAACCAGGAACCAGAGGGAATGGAGGGGAAACATGTGGGGAATAGGGTTCAGGGAAAGTTGTGGGGTTCAGGCTGGATTGCTGACCTTCTGGAGACAGCTGGGAACGTGAGAGGCAGGTCTGGGAGGAGGTTACAGGTCTGGGGACCAGCGGGACAGAGATACAAGTCGCTGTGTCACTCAGGGCTGCAGGCCCCCTGCTCCACAGCAGCCGCTCAGGGTGAGAATCTCTCCTCCCTCAGGCACGCAGTCCTGGGGTCAGGAAGGGCCAGGCGTCGGTGCCCGTCGGTCTGTGGGCAAGACCGAGCCTGCCCTCCCTGCGCCAGGGAGCCGTTTCAACTTGACTCGACGCTCAGCACAAAAATTTGCCTAGAAGCACCCAGCTCCCCCAGGAGCCAAACATCCCCTCCCCCAGTGAGAAACAAGGCTGAGCTCAACGCTTTAACCCCATCGTGGCCTGAAGCTGCTGGGACTGGAACTGTCTTCTCAGGTCTTTACTCACTGGTCCTGAGATCAGCTCCATGCTCACTCTGCATGTTGCTTTAGCAGAGTGAGCTTTCCCCATTTTCCTTCTTTAGAAAATAGTGGAAAATGTTCTTAAATATCTATCTGGTGTGTTTCCAAAACTGCTTTGAATGTGTTATTGAAGTGTTTGTAATTAATACACCATTGCTTTCTTCCAATTCAAAGCGAGCTCCCCTCCCCAAATAGACATATCTGTGGAGGTGCAGTATGAGCACTGAGGCCTAACTCACACACCTTCCCCCACAAAGACCCCCCAGGCCATACACCTCACCCGCTCAGCACTAAATGCATTACACCATATTGTCTGCAGTGTGATAAAATGCAACATCTACACTGGACTGTTCATGTAACACAGCAGTCCCCTGTAATGAATTCTAGGACAGTCTGTACGCTACAGTGACTATGCTAGAACCGTGCTGTGCTGCACTGTACAGTATAGTCCTACTCTGATCCTCTAAGCTCCTTTTATACTGTGCTGCGCTGTAGTTTACTGCCCTGGTCTGATCCCCAGGCCTTACCCAGCACTGTGTCCCTGGCTGCAGTCTCCTTCATCACTCCGTGCCTCTGCACTACAGAAGAACCGGACCTGTCTTCTCGTTTCTTTTCTGCTGTCGGTCTGTTGTCCTCTGTCACTGCTGCTCCCAACCAGACGTGTGACTGAGAGACACTCCTCCCCAGTTACCTGTTACCACCAGTACTCCCTCTCTCTCAGTGCTCCTCCCCTTTCCAAGTGTCTGTAATCTCTCTCTCTCTCACACTGAACACTCCCTCTCTCAACACATTCCTTCTGTCTACACAAACACACTCCTTCTCTTTCTCTCGGGACACTGCCGAAGTACTGACTGTCCCTCTGTGCCGCAGTGTCTGAAAAACACTCTAAATCTCTCTGACCCTCTCTGTGCGGCAGAGCACGTGTCCCGTTTCTCTCTCTCTGCACGGCAGGGTGTGTCTCCAGCTCCTCTCTCTCTGCGAGGCAGGGTGTGTCTCCTGTTTCTCTCTCTCTCTGCACGGCAGGGTGTGTCTCCAGCTCCTCTCTCCCCCAGGCTGAGCGGCAGTCCTGGATCCCTGCAGAGAGGGACTGTTCTCATGCTGAAGTTGAGGCAGGTGTGCCAGCCAGCACCTCCCTCGACTGCAGGGCTGCAGACAGGAGCGATGTGCTCAGAGGCAGGGTGTGGCCTGAGCACTTCATCAACCAGAAAAGTTCATGAGAGAAGACAACCCCCCTGACTCAGTCCAGCCCCAGGCTGAGCCATCGTGGGGATCAACAACAATTCTATTCAGCAAATTTCTCATCCTCTGCTCCTTTCCCCTCCTGCTTTTGTCCAAGTACGACTGACAGGACTTCCTTAGGGCAGGGACTTGTATGAACGCACCCCAAGGAGGCAGTATACCTCTCCCATCCCCCAAAAAAGAAATTTTAAGGCATGGAATCTAGAAGCAAACAAGGAAACTGACTCCTCTTTCAGGGGCTGAGGCTCTAGTACAGACACATCAGGAAACAATATTCCAGTAACGCTACCACCCACTGAGGCCACGAGAGGGCAGTGGAGATTTGGTCTGATCACAGACACTGCTTCTGCAGCTCAACTCTCTCCGACTCTCTCTGGCCGTCCGTGACCCAGAGTCAGAGGCTCAGACACTGGGGCAATGCATGAGGGGCAGAGAGAATACGGACAAGTCTCCAATGGGCTTCTCGACTTTAGTAGCGGCTCACAACAAAGGTTCAGAAGGAAGAATTTTATCTTTTTTATTCTTTTGTTATTATCACAATACAACTTGTAAAAAACTCAGAGAACAACAGCTCTTTGAGAACATACAAACACTATGAAACACAAAACCCAACAGCGCAATAACCCACTTCTCCCGGGCTCCTTCCCAACTGCCCCTTCCGATTTTCCCATTTAATTGAAAGTAGACAAGTGAAGGACCAGCCTCTATGAATCGTGTACTCAATCATTCAGAAAAACGTGGGGTGTCGTTCCACAGCACCCCTGAAGTGATGTGAAGCTTCTCCAGTGTCCAAACACACAGCCGGGCTCCAGCTCTGCTCCCACTGCTGGTCCAGCCCCCTCCTGCCCCAAGACAGGGGCTGAGGCCCGACTGGCTGTCCAGCAGAACCGGCTGACCGCTTGTCCATTTGGTGTGGCTGAGACACTCAGAGCAGTCTGACACTGGATGTGAAGACAGCAGGGGACACTGCAGAGCTGCGACGAGGAGAGGGGAGGGGAAAGTAGAAAAGACAGCGGGAGGGGGTTGGGAAAGGAGACAGGGGCAGAGCATGAAGTACAGAAAGTGAGAGCCGCAGACGGGGGGACATTCCTCCCTGCTCGTGGGGCAGGGGAATCCGATGCATGAGGCATCACTAGCAGTCCACTGCAGGTCCAGGTGTTGGACACCCCTCTGTTTCGGGACGGCTCGAGCTGCGCAGGGTCTTTGTGTCCACCTGCGTGTCTGGCTGTGTGTCCGTCTGAAAGAGAGGCAGCTGCTTGAGGAGGAGTGTGGGTCGCGGGGGGGGAGAAATGGACAGGAGGAGGAAGACGTACTGACCTGCTGCTTCCTCTCTCACCTCTCTGTGTCCGACACATTCAGAAGCACCTGGGCGGGATTGAACACAGTCAGAGTGGCACACTGGAGAAAACTGACTCACTGACCCACTCCCTGGCACACGAGCCACATCAGCTCACAGCGGACGTTCTCTTACCGGCAGCTGCCCTTTCAGTTTGGAGGGTGTCTTATAATCCCCCTTCAAGACCTGCAGGAGGAAGACAGTGAAAGAGTGAGAGTCTCCGAGGACGAAGAGAATGAAAGAGTGAGTGACTGGCTGTATGAGTGAGATGTATCGCAGAGCAGAAAGGCAGGACTAGAACCTCAACCTCCTGTCTCCTGGAATTGTGGGCTATGAGACACCCAGACATCTGAGCACAAAAACCCCCTAACTGACTGCTTTGTATGTCTCCACCATTAAAAGTCAACCCAACAGTTCAGTACTGCTGACAGTATGGAGGCACCCTGCTGTCATCTGTGACTCAAACCTGCCCATCTATCTGCCATTCGGAACAGACAGTTAACTGATAGTAACATAAGAGTGGGGATTAACAGTAATTGACCGTAATGTTGGAGTCAGGTTCAACAGTAAGAGGTGACAGTTAACCATTCAAGCCCGTACCTAAACACACACTAAAATACTTTAAGGAGCAGCTCAATTTTGTAGCAAACGCTGGACTGCAGTTTCCTTATTGCTTTCCGGGACCAGTGTGTCTGGAGTCAAGGCGCAGGCGGCGGCAAGCAGCCCACCCACCCTCTCCGTGTTGTTGAGGACAGCGGGCTCCGCCTCTCCGTAGCGGGGTGGGTTGGCGTGAGGGTCGTACCCCAGCCGGCTCAGCATGGGCGCGATGTCGGCCATGTCGGCCAGCACGTCCTCAGGGATGTGGCCCACCCAGCGGGACAGCGCCTCCAGGTTGACGGGCTTGATCACCTGGTCGGTGGAGCGCTCGACCCTGCAGAGGGAGGGCAGCAGGGACAAGCTCAGCCCCGCGGCGCACAGACAGCGCAGAGGCCGGCGGGTGGAGAGCCATGCCGGCATGAGACCGAGCCCTTGCCTGGACAGAGACACGCCCCCGGGCTGCCCGATGGCGTCCTCGTGGTGCAGCACAGCCTCGTCCCAGGCAACGTCCAGGAAGCGCAGGATGGAGCGCAGGGTCTGGCGCGGCTGCAGCACCAGCGTCTCGTAGCGCACCGCCATGCAGCGCAACGGCCCCACCTGCTGGCACTGCAGCAGCATGGCCTCCATAGCGCGGCTCCACTTGGACAGGCAGTCGCGGTAGCTGGACAGGTCGAAGCCGGCGATCGTCACCTTCCGCGTGATCATGGAGTGCACCGCTGCCCGGCCGTCCCGGAACATCAGCAGGAATTTCGACCTGCCGGAAGGGACAGGTGAGAGGCGGAGGGAACCAGGCTCGCAGAGGGGCAAGGTCAGGAGAACACAGCTGCTGACGTGAGGGGGAGGGCAAGAGGGTGACGGAGTGCAAAGGGCTGGAAGAAGTGGGGGGGGAGTGAGGATCCTCTCTTGTATCTCCTCTCCTGTGATTCCTGTCCTCTCCTGGCACCTCCTAGCGTGAAGGAGGGGTGTGGGAGTCTCACCTGGGGAAGATGCGTGACAGGTAGAGGGCGCTCTTCAGGGTAAAGGGGTCTTTGTTGCAGAGCACGGGCGCCGGCTCCCCGTGCCGCGCGATGACCTCCAGGATGAAGGAGGAAATGGCCGAGTCGAGCACGTGGTCCGTGACCCCCGCCTCGTCCAGCCGCTGCTTCTCGCGCGAGGAGCGCGCCCAGGCCTGCCGCATGGCCAGCAGGCGCGGGATGACGCGCGTCTCCTCTCCGCAGCGGATCAGGGGGTGGGCGTCCAGCATGGCTCTCATCAGCGTGGTGCCGCTGCGGGGGACGCCGCCCACGAACACCAGGGGCGTGGCCTTGCTGTAGCGGTACTCCACTCGCCGCCAGTCACGCACGGACACGCCCTCGTGCTCCGGCACCATCCTGCCCCAGCCTCCCGCCCGCTGGCACAGCAGGACGCGCTGGCACACAAGCACCAGCGCCAGCGTCGCCCCGGCACAGCACACTGCCATGGCAACGCGCCGCAGAGACAGGCGCATGCCGACCGTCGTGCAGAGAGCCCCTGTCCGGCCTCAGAGCCTGGCCGTGTGAGGCTCCTCCGTCATGGCAAACCTGCAGGGACAGAGAGAGGTCACCTGCACACACCGTGGAGTGAAGAGAGTCAACCCCCCATCAAGAATCTGGCTCCAAACATTTGAAAGTGTGATCCAACCCATTGCCGTAAATGGCAGTGAAGTGTGGTCCCCTCACAGACCAGGACTACTCTCAATGGGACAAACACCCCACAGAAACTCTGCACATGGAGATCTGTAGAAACATCCTCCGTGTGCAGAGAAAAACTCCTAACAATGCGTGCAGGGCCAAATTAGGCCAGTACCCACTAATGATAAACATACAGAAGAGAGTATCTAAGTATTGGCTACACCTCAAAAACAGCAATGAAAACTACCAACACAAAGCCCTGCTGAGCCAAGAGCTGAGCCCAACAAAGAGCCCCCTGAGCCAGCTGGTCTGAGGCTGACTGGCCCGAGCCAGTCAGCCTCAGGACAGCACTGCGAGAGCACCACAACTCAGATTCAACCACATCACAGCACAGATCAAACAGCAATATCTTACACACTGGGACACACACACAAACACAATATAAACTGGAATGTTACAGAACAGAACCCTAAACAGACAATATACACTAGCCAAATATTTGACCAAGATAAGAAACAACAAAAAGAAACAGACCCTGACGAAGTACAGGCTCAGTGACCGCAGCCTGGCCAGAGAAACTGGACACAGGCAGACCTGACTGCCCAGAGAGGACAGGCAGAGTGACCACAACCTGGCCATAGAAGCTGGACACAGGCAGACCTGGCTGCCCAGAGAGGACAGGCTGTGCTCCCACTGCCAGCGGGGAGAAACACAGACAGAGGTGCACTTTCTACTGCACTGTGACACATATTTTGGGATTAGAGAAACATTCTTCTCTAAATTCAGAAATCTCATCCCAGAGTTCCCACACCTGCCAGAATCACAACGGGTCCCAATCCTGCTGGGAGAGGGTGGAGGGAACTCAGTTGAACTGGCAGCCCAGTGTGTGATCTCCTGTCACAGCCTGAGGAACAGTGATTAGCCCGCTCTGGCCTCCAGGTCCAGCTGCTCTGACAGTAACCGCAGCCCGCGGGGGCCGCAGGGCGGCGAGGTGGAGCTCATCACCACGGCCCCACCAGTGCTCAACTCCCAGTCCACTCACACTCACCAGTGCACGGGCAGGGGCTGCACAGGACTCTGCTCAGAGACGAGACGCAGCACGAGCCCGGTCTCCCGGCTGCGAGCTGTGAGAAGGCAGGACAGAGAATCGGAGAGCCAGACGAGCTGAGAGAGGCAGGGGGTGTCGATTCCCGGGGGGGCTCTTAAGCCTGGCGCGCAGCAAGATCCTCTGGGACAGGGTTCGATCCCTCAGCCACCGCAAACACTAAATTACGGGCTGGAGAGAGAAGCTCAGCTTTCACACAACTGCATTAGGCTGGCTGAACATCAATAACGACGGAGAGAGAGGGAGAAAGAGCCCTGGGCTGGCTGGCCCTACTGCTCTCTGTGTGCATGCTGTTGTATACAGGGCCTGTACAGCAGATCACTGTACTGTGCACACTGTACAGGGGTACAGTGTGACTGCGAATTATACTCAGGGTTATATTGCAAGTTTCAAGAGGCAAATACCACAACTTTACAAGCCCATTTCCACAGAATGAATAAACATAAAAATGTGCAATGTGTGTGTTAAAATAGTTTGTTTCCACTTAAGAGGAAGGAAAACCTCAGCACTAAGACATAACCTTGGAAAGCCTCATTTACAGACGGCAGCTGTGCACTGTGAGTATATTCTGTACAATGTTCAGTCAGTAAGTGCAGCATGTTCAGTAGCTCTGGCCAGCGTTCAGGCTACTGGGTTTCGCACTCTGAGTCAGAGGTCACAAGCACAGAGCTGAAACTGCAGGGCAACAGGAAGAGAAGACTTCCTGTCCAGTGTGGGTTAATCAGTGACACAGCACGTATTGACTGGATTCTTCAGCCCAGGCCCAGGCCTGTCCACACCAGCGATGGCTCTCATGGTCTCACGGTCTCCGCCTGCCCTCTGGCCTCTGCCTCTCTGCCTCCACCCTCAGCCCTCCGCCTCTCTGCCTCCACCCTCAGCCCTCCGCCTCTCTGCCTCCACCCTCAGCCCTCCGCCTCTGTCTCTGTCTCTGTCTCAGACTGCAATCTGCCAGTGATCGCTCTGTTTGCAGGCCCTCTGGCTTCTTGTTTCTTGCAGTTTCCTCTTTCTGCACAGAAAGGTGAACTTGGCAGCCGCAGTGCCGGCTCCGAGTCTGTGGTGTTTGGAGTGTGGGTGAATGCGTCAGTCTGCCCCGGCTCTCTTCCCAGCCCCCTCTGCACGGTCTGGACACTCTAAGCCTCCCCTTCCTGCCTCCATCAGCACACAGCTACAGGAAACAGGCCAGAAAACCCTGATGGCGAGAGATAAAGGCTCATATCTGCACGTTCACAGGTGGAGGCACAGATACAGAAAGTGGAGATAAAAAGAGTGAGGGAGAGGGAGCAACGTCAGACAACGAGGGCTGGGGAGAGACATACACACTTCTTCACTGTCTTTAGCTGATTGTTGTGCATGTCTTTGTTCTCTTAAATTTGTTCTGTGTTATTTGCCCACTGTACTGTTCTGTGTCCTGGTCCCCATTGTAAACATCTTGGTAAAATCCTGTGGCCATGTGACACAAATTGCTCTTCTGACCTTAAACCAACAGAGTAGGTGGTGGAGAGCAAGTTGTCTTGTAATATTCCCTGCTCAAGAACGGAATAACTGACTCTCTTTAGCCTTGAACAGATAAAACTACAGGGGAACTGATTCAAGTACTCTGACTCTTCAAATTCATTGACAAAGTAACCTCAGCACATTTCATCAGAACCAACAATGAAATAGACGATACATGTGGAAACTACAGGGAAGTGCATTGACTTTTCATGAAGGGCTGTGGGAGTCTGGAACAAGCTGTCCTGGCCTGTTGTTGAAGCTGATACAATTAGCAACTTCCTCCCAAACAAGCTAGATGTTTGCTTGTATCCCCTCTTATCTCTCCCGCTCTTACTAGAGAGAGGTAGAGAGCAGAGGTGTAAGAGAGCAGCCCTCGACTCACACCTGCACAGGAAGTGAAGCCGTGTAGAGGAAGGGCAGGTGTGAACAGCCAGCTGCCGAGTTGAGAACTGCGACTCTGACACTGAGCACCCAGAGGAAGAGCCCCTGGAGCTGGCACAGTGGCCACAGCTGCCAGCTCCAGTACTAAATGTGCCCCACTCTTACTACATTGATAATCAGGCTCCAATTAATTACAATGGAAAATAAAGCCCAGATGGAAAAACATTCATTTACAGCCTCTTGCCTCTTGATAGATTTTCACCTTCATGTCTGGACATCTGGGCAGACAGAACTGACTCTGGAGCACAAGGCTGTGAAAATTCCCATCAGCAGAAACAAAACCCTGGACTGACAGGCCGATGGCTCTGCTCTCCTGCAGCCTGCATGTGGCACTGGCTGGCCCATGAGGAGCAGCCTTCCACCCAGTCCTAGTCCTCCCACAAGCCGGGTCGCGCCAACCCGGCCTACAGTACACCAGGGCACTGTGGGCCGACAACACAAGGACACCATCCACCTGGATACGCGTACCTTTGGATGGTGGCAACCCACACAAACATTGTGCATTTCTTGTGTATTTTCTATTGTTGTTCTGTAAAGCACTTTGAGAAGGCACCTGTAAAGGCGCTGTTATAAACACAGGATGGAGACAGCCCACACAGACCCAGGGAGAACATACACACTCTACACAGAAGGCACAGGCACTCGAACCCAGGACCCTGAAGCTGAAAAAGTCGCCATGTCTCCTCGTCACTCCCCTTTAGAATCAACATTTTCTTATAACTTGAATGTTGTGTATATTCATGTACAACCTGCCCTCCAGCTTCAACTCAGCCTCTTGCAACCATGTGAAACTGAAGCCTTTGCTGAATTTCAAACAGCAGCATGAGCAATGGGGCTACCTTATCAATACAATCTGCTACACACCAATATCAGATCAATATCGGCGGTGATACAGAGGTCAGTTAAGCTTCTGCTCCTGTGCATGAGGAGCCTGACCTGTTGGCGACACCTCCCCAATCCTTATTTCAACTGACTGGACTGCACAGCTAATTGAACTAATCACTCCACTATATTAAAAAGCTTTTGCATGGGGACTGTAAGTCACACACACACAGGTCAGTGACCTCTGGACAGCACACACACACAGGTCAGAGGGGTGTGGCCAGCACCCACGCACGCACACAGGTCAGCGGGCTCTGGACAGCACAGAGTCCAGGACACAGACTCGGTCAGAGCCTCAGCATGTATGGTGTGTTCACTCTACCCAGATGCCACAACACCGGCACAAAACAGAGCCGGCACAAACACAGCACGACATGTTGCATGTGTCACTATGCGCACTGCACACAGGGGGTGATATTTTGAGATAACTCGAACAATAACTGAATACTTTATGAACCGTTGGGGGGGGGACGCGAGATTGGTGCATATTTTAATACAGCAGCACACGTCGTGTGCCAGCAGAACGACGCACAATCACCCCTCCGGCCGGCGCTCCCCTGACTGCGACCAACACGAACCACGCAGTTCCCCCACCCGGCAGCTGCGGGGGCCCTGCTCAGCCGGTCGCGGAAGAGAAAGAGAGGCTCCGCTACCGTCACCGTACAGTCAACGACTGAGCCGCGCATCCCCGCACGGAAGCACAGCGCGCCCGCCACGATTGCGCTTTTTCCCGCAGAGCTCCCCGACTTCACAGGCCCGCCGGCGTGCATGCTGTCACGGCCCGGGTCCGAGCCTGCCCCGCTGGAGATGTCGGGGGTACAGGGCGCACGGAGCCCCGAGACGCTCCAGGCGGCCAGCCTGCAGCCCAGCCTGTCAGGAAGCGCCAATCTCTAACCGGGGGCTGGAGGCACGGCTGTGACAAAAACTTTCCGCTACTCTGCTGCTCCCCCGGCCGGGGCAGACCCAGCCCGCAGACGGCGGCCGCGACGTCGGGAAAGAGGAAGGGCGCAAGTTTACCTTCGGCTCCGATTCTCCCTGCGCTGCTGCGGCTTCCCTCCTCCTCACACTCCCGATGCCAGCTCGCCGACCTCCGTGAGCGCAAACCGATGGTACCCAGTGTTTTGAAACACAACACCCGTTCGTCTCCGAGCAGACCGGGGGCAGGACCGGCGGGGCAGCGCGTCACGCCAGTGACGTCAGACCCACACTGCCAGAGGGGGGCTCAGCCGCCCAGCGCCGCAGTCGGCGTCTGTAAAAATCGCTACTTCTGGGGCTCCGTGATTTGTACTTGACCTCCGACAGCGGACAAGTGTTTTGTGGTTTGTTTTTGTTCACTTGATTTTTTTGGATACCCTTTTCTCTTTGCTAGTATTATTTAATGTCGTTTAAAAGTTTGAAAAATAGTCAGTCTTTCAGCTCAAAGTGCAACATCGATGAGACGCATAAAAATAATTATAATAATATTCACAGCACAGTCACTGCCGCCCAGTTCACTCGGGGTTCCGGCTCTTATCTAGTAAACCCGTCTGTCCCCCGGTGTTGTCACACCGCCTGGGCACAATTACTGCGCTCAAATTCCATAAAGGGCATTTCACACTGAAACTGCGCTGGACACATTGGAGTTCAAAAGCGCTTGATCTGAAAGTGATCTGAAATACTTTGGACTACACTTTACCTTGCTGCATTGCTCCAAAATGCAGTTTCTCACAGCAAAGTGCCGGTCTGGCCTGAGACGAGCTGTGCTGCAGTGAAGTTGTTTCCTCCTGGCCCTCTGCTGAGCTCCGTGTCTGGCCCTGCTGCCACAACGGACTACGTGCGTGTGCAGGGATACAGCGGCCCCTTGCGGTGACTTTGTGGAACTGCCCTTGATCGAGCAACCCGCCAGTGCTTGCCGGACTGTTCTGGACCCTGGTCTTGCTGTGAGGGACTGGACCCTGCTGGACCCTGATCTTGCTGTGTGTGACTGGACCCTGCTGGACAGCAGAGCTGCTGTGTGGGACTGGACCCTTCTGGACAGCGGACCTGCTTTGTGGGACTGAACTGTTCTGGACCCTGGTCTTGGTGTGTGGGACTGGACCCTTCTGGACAGCGGACCTGCTGTGTGGGACTGGACCCTTCTGGACAGCGCACCTGCTGTGTGGGACTGGACTGTTCTGGACCCTGGTCTTGCTGTGAGGGACTGGACCCTGCTGGACAGCGCACCTGCTGTGTGTGACTGGACCCTTCTGGACCCTGGTCTTGCTGTGTGGGACTGGACCCTTCTGGACCCTGGTCTTGCTGTGAGGGACTGGACCCTCCTGGACCCTGGTCTTGCTGTGTGGGACTGGACCCTGCTGGACCCTGGTCTTGCTGTGAGGGACTGTCGGACTCAGGTCTGGACATGAGAACTCAATGTGCAGCAGAAATGGACAGAGAAGCAAGTGAATAAGAGAGGCGAGAGCTCGGAGAGCAAGGATGGGCAGAACAGAGAGTGAAAAGAAGCAACAGGAACACACAATCAACAAAAAACAGGAGAAACCCACAGATCTGTCTTCCAAAATGTTTATTTGGCTTCACAAAGTCAGTCACGTCCCAGTGGACACGCTCCATTATGGTTCTCGTTGATGGAAGGGAGGGAAGGGGTTCCGGGTCAAGTTTCAAGGCTTTCTTTTTTAAAAAAGATTAAATATTATTTTAAAATGGGGTCTCAGAATGGGATAAAAATGGCCGTGGGTCACGGCGCGATGCAGGCTGCGGCCTGTGGGGGGCGCTCACTTGCTGGCCATGGTGAAGTTGAAGCAGCCCTGCTGGTGCCACTGCATGTCGCGAATCCGGCGCATGGACTGGATCTGTGGCTGGAAGGCACACCACTCGTTCCAGTGCCTGTAATCTCCACACTCAAACAGGTACTGGTAGCCCCTGTACCCAGGATACTGGTACCCCACCCAGCTGCGAAGAGAGAGAGAGATTTATTCATTTCACCTCAGGTCAGTTTTCAGCTCAGGTCTACATGTGCACCTCAGTATTGCCAGCAGTCCCCTCTAGGAAATATTGAGTACGTCTTGTTCTGCAAAACATTAACCCACCTGCACCACCACAGCCGAATTCTTCATCTCTTCCCCAGTTCCTCTTACTCTCCCAGTCCCTTTCCCTCTCTCCCCCAGTCCCACTCCCAGTCCCACTCCCAGTCCCTCTCCCTCTCCAGCTCCCAGTACTCACGCTCCCCCAGGCACCCTCACGCTGCCCACACGGTCACAGAAGCCGTACGCCCACAGACTGGGCACATCGTCCTCCTGGATCTCCATCTTGTTGCCCTTGAAGTCAGCGCACTCGAACAGACAGATCTTGTGCTCCTGGTTGTCCTGGAGGGGAAGTGTTATTGTTGGGACTGATATTAGTAGTGATGCAAACCTGTTCATCTTAAACTAGAATGAGTTCTTAGACTGCACTTCAGTGTGCCCATCAGTGTTTCAGGGTGTCAGTGAGTGTGTTGGTGTGTAAGCATGTCAGGGAATGTGCCAACGTGCCAGTGTGGCAACAACTGTGGCAGTGAACGTATCAGCATGTCAGAGAGGATGTCAGCATGCCAGCGGGCCTCACCATGCGGACGGGCCTGAAGGACATGAAGCAGTCGCTGCGATAGCTGTTGGACCAGGTGTCCCAGCGAGGATACTCTCCCTTCTCCAGGATGAACATCTCCCCACGGAAATTGTTCTGCTCATAGGCAACCCAGCTGGAGACAGAATAGAGGGGAGAGAGGGAAGGAGAAGAGCCAGAGAGAAAGAAGGAGGGAGAGACAGAAAGAGAGAGGGAGGGAGGTTGAGGAGGAGAGCAAGAGATAAAGAGAGGAAGGACATGACAGAGGAAGAGCAGGATGAGAAAAAAAATGTCAGAGGACTCACCAAGGGAGGAAGAGACTGAAGACATAACCAGTGCTAATTTCTGTGGATGGTGAGTGTGAATGTTCAGAATCTCAGCACTGTGTAGCAGCAGTGGTCCTGCAGAGTGTGCGCTGTTGCAGGGTGTGGTGTAGTCTACTGCACTGCGCGGGTCATGGCAGCAGGAGCAATGGTGGCGGGCGGGAGGGCGGGACTCACGGGCCACACTCGATGCGCACACTGCGCACCCTGTCGAAGCCGCGGTCGCACAGGTTCACACACTCGTTCTGGAACTCCATGTAGCGGCCCTGGAAGTTCTCCTGCTCGTACACGATCATCTGCAGAGGAAGCACAGAGGCCCATACAGTGCCTGTCCCCAGTACAGTGCTGAGTGCCAGAAGGGATAGGACAGAATAGTACAGGGTAGTGCGGGGTGTTCCTGCCCCGTTTCACTCACTCTGTAGGAGCCCATGCTGGGTTCCCCCGTCTTGGTGGCCTTGCTGGTGGGTGCAGGTGCAGGGGTGCCTTTGTCCTTGGCATCGGTGCCCTGGCTGGTGGCGGACTTAGCGGTCTGAGACATGATGAGGGTTCAGGAGAGTCTGAGAGCTTAAAGAAGATGCAGAAAGGAGAGATAGAGCAGGTTTATATCTGAAGAGCATCACCCACAACACAGTCACCCCAATGGTATGGAACCCAGTCAAACAGTCTCCATTACTACAGCACTATCAGTGTGCCAGTGCTGTAGCACAATGACAGAATGTCTGGTGGCTGCCCTGACACAGCTCCCTGCTCTCCTTCTGCCCTGCCAGAGGTGGACAGCCTGGTGTCACAGCTGAGCCACGGAGACTGCTGGGGAATCACAGCACAGGCAGGGGCCTGGCCTGTGAAACAGCAGGAGCTCCTGAGACACCAAATATTAGCTTGGTTTCAGTGCACAGGATCTTGCAGATTGCTGGACTTGTTCAAGATCCCTGCAGATCCCAGTATATCCAACAGAGATTCCTAGAGATCCTTCCAGAACCTCCACAGCCACACCATTCCAGGCTGCACTCCCAGGCTCGTTATACACCAAAGCCCAGTGTGGCCCATAGGCTGCCCCAAAACTCATCCCAGGACAAAAAAAAAGAGTTTCCTCCAAATAGCAGTGAGTCACCAGGAGAGCATCAGACAGCATCCCTGTGCACCAAGGCTGAGAGCCACGGACCCTCACTGATGGCCTGCTGTTCTCAGCAGCTCCATCTGCCTCGTGTCCGGCTGTCCGGCAGCTGGGCACTCACTGAGGGCCGCGGCTGAGCTTGTCTGCTCCAGCTCATTGCCACAAGGGCCAGCCGTGTGCTGGGCTGGAGGTCTGTCTCAACTTGCTTGGCAGGTGACTGGTTGCTGCTGCTGCGGTTCTCTGCCTCTTACCTGCTTGCAGAGCTGCAGTGCAGTGCGGTCAGCTGGTGCTTGCTGGCCTCTCTGCCCTGCAAAGCCTTTTTATACCCTGGCAAGAGGAGCGCTCCCGGCTCTCTGCACAAAGGAAGTGCACGTGTCATCAGAGCCCCCCCTCCGCCGGCCAAACCCGCCTGTCATCATATCTGCCAAAGCCCCCGGCCGCCCAGAACAATCGCTGTGGCCGTAAGCAGTTTGCATTGTGAGCAGGGCAGAAAGGAAAGCACTGACTGTGGGGATTTGAGGCTGTAGCTGGATGGGCTGCACTGGGACGTATAGAGTGGAGGTCAGAGCTGCACCCCCACCCCTATCCCCTGCTTTCATTCAAACCCTCAGGCTACATGGGAGAGAAGCACAGGAGATGTGTTTAATTTCTTGTTTGCCTTCTCTTTCTTTCGCTGTGTGGTCTCCTGTGTGACATGCATTGTGAGCCTTCGGCCATCATGGTGCAGCAGAACCTGTCCTCAGTAGACTTACCTGGTGAAATGAGGGATCAATATAATCATGTGGTCTTAATTTAATGCACACAGGCTCAGGCCTAACACTTGGGTCCTCCACAGTCCCCTGCAGTCGGAACAAGGCGTTTTGGGGTCAGGGGTAGCGTTAGGGGTATGGCTGGCTTTGTGCATGGAGCTCATGGATGCTCCTGAAGAGTTTTAAGGCACAGGAGCAAAGACAGTGCCACACACACAGGGAGATGATTTTACAGAAGAGGTGACTGATGACTAATACTGTACACCTACAGCTGCAGTAAGATATCAGCTGCGCAAGGCAGCACAGTTCCTGTCTGTTACCCAACAATCTGATGTGTTGAAAACTGCACACCACTTCTCTGCACTCTCACAATTTAATGCTGAGCATCTTTATGGTCTTTTTCCTAAATTTAATTATATACCCATCCAATTTGGAATTGTCAGTTGTGTTTTTACATGTCAGCCCACAGCAGGGATTGGGCCACGGTACTCAGTCTAGGGGAATAAGGACATGCAAACTCCTCTATTCCTCATCTCTAACAAGTCCACCCACCCATCACAACCAGTAATCTTCTGACACATCACAGACTCCTCTGACCCGCCCACCAATCACAACCAGTAATCTTCTGACACATCACAGACTCCTCTGACCCGCCCACCAATCACAACCAGTAATCTTCTGACACATCACAGACTCCTCTGACCCGCCCACCAATCACAACCAGTAATCTTCTGTCACATCGCAGACTCTGCTCAGATGCTTCAATGCTGATTGGAAGTTAAAGATTTGATTACATCTGAGACAGCCCTGGTCAACAAATCCCCAATATTGTTATTTGCAAATAAACAGGAAATGAAACATTCTGCCATCATACAGCCAGTGAAATGACTGAGGCAAAATCATGATGTCTTGGTCCTAGCATTCAACCTGCACTTGGAGTGACTCCTATATTTCACAAAAAATAACCTGTCCAGCTTTTAAACACATCTTTAAATAAAGTAAATTAAGTAATGGCAGAAAAATTAAGAGGAAACGATTGCAGATGTGACTGTGCAAACAGTAGAGCGTTGGAAATTTAGTTATACTGTGTGCAGTGCCCCGCAAAAGAAATGGGACAACAGAGATTGTTTTACAGTAAAATAAATTGCTGTCTCAGTTCTTGTGCGGGGCACTGTGTGAGGGAACTGCTCCTGCAGTGCTAGGTGTGTCAGACAGCCGGCCAGTGGCTGGAGTGTTTGCTATTCTGCAGTGAGAATGGTGAGAATACCAGCCGCCCTGTTGCCATGGTGATTTAGTATTCTGAACACAGCCCGTTTCCCACCAGTGTCTGCAGGACAGGAGCTCCAGAATACCAATCACCTGTAGCACACTCAGCCTGGACCCTTCACACAGACAGGCTCTGTAGGAAACCACACAGCTGCTCTGACCATTACTGTCTTTCATAAATAGGGTGTATTATAAATCTGAACACAAATGCCTTCTTGAGAGGAAGTTTACAATAAATTATCCTAATGAACCAGCAGTAAACGAATAATCCAGTTAAACTATTCCTGTTCGTGCGTACATTGATAATCACCCCCATGTTTTCCCACAATGGTCTCATCTTCTACTGTATGTCAAGCTGTTAAAGGGCTTTCAGGTCTGATCCTGACTGCCAATGGGAGGGATGGGTGGGAGCTGTGCTGTGGCCCGTGTCTTGGCTCGTGCACGTTCCTCACGGTGAGCTGCAGCTGAAGAAACAGCAGGGCTCCCTTGCAATTCTCTCCTCCGCTGTCGGCCAGTTCTGACCTGGCTCTGGGTCCCCGTCACAGCACCGGCACCATGGAAGCACTTGTCCAGAGGGCTGTGTCCTGACAGTGTGCTCAGAGCTCACCTGCCCTGAGCCAGGGGCTTCCGCAGGACTCAGGTCGCTCAGCTCAATGAGAGTCCTCCTGACTCTAAATCACATGGTTGCACAAGTGGGGCACAAACTGAGGGATAGTCATAATAATAAAACAGCCCGACTCTCCGGACGGAAGCACACTGACGTTTTGAAAATACCTGGGACTTTCCAATGATTCTTATTGAAGCAAATTTTCCAATTGAATCCAACAGAAATCCCAATCAGGGCAATTTCAGCTGGAGAATTGAGGAGTCATGGAAAAAACTCCAATCAGCTTTCCTTTCCTACAGGAAAGAGAGAGAGTTTGGGTTTCTCCCAGTGTGGTGCTTTGTGACAGTCTATCAGTTACACTGTTCATTCTTCCTCTCTCTTCTCCTCATCCCTTTTTTCCCCCTCTCCCTATCTCCCCTCGGCACTCTTCCTCTGTCTTACCCTGCTCTCCCATGCTGACCTCTCACCTCTCTCTGTGCTCCCCTCTGTAGCACCCCTGTCCCCCGTCCCCTCACTGTCCTTGCAGTCCTGATCATCCCTCCTGCTGTCTCCTTGCCCGGAGCCCAGTGCCTCCAGGTGCCCCTGCCCCCGGCCCCTCTGGAGGCCGCTGAGGTGATAGTGTGGCGTCTGCAGTTCCTGTGCGTCTCTATAGATTAAGCCCTTTGTTGTCGAACAATGTTGCGCCCCTCCCTTGTGCTGAGCTGGGGCTTTGCACTGGGCTGGATGCCACAGGAGGCTTTAAAAGTGAGCAGAGAGTTCCAGCCCTCACTCTCAGAGCAGGACACCCGCGGGCATCACAGCAAGGTGAGTCTCCCTCCCTGCCTCTCACTCTCTGTCAGCATCTGTCCATACACGAGGATGCTGGGCTTACCAGTGTGAAGACGAACAGTAACAGGCAACTCCCTGGCTTGTAAAAGTGCTGTGAGGAAGGTCTATTATGAGCAAACTAGTTTTTAAAGCATGTGGTGAGATGTTTGGTTTCTCTAGTCTACTGTACTGTAGGTTCACTGTGTGCTTTTGTCACAGTCTCTATGTCTGTCTGTTTCCACACTGCTGTGGATTTTATAATTCCCTATTCAGCTGCATGAGCCTCTGTATCTGGGTAGAGTGCATGTGGTGCAGAGGGAAAACTATCAACAGTAACAGGTTGTCCTGTGAAGGGAGAAAGACACTCTTAAAATAATTATAAAGGCAAATTTATAACAAAAAGAAATAACAAAATTGTAAAAAAAAGACAAATTTAACCTTTTTAACTCTGAAAAGTTCAAGTTCGTCATTATACTCACATAGAGGGATATGGTATAACGAAATGCTATTTAGCTACCTCTCAGTCAGAAAGAAGTACAAAAAACAACAACAATACCATTGTATAAGAAAAGAAAGAGATAATTGAGTGAAATATGGAAAGATTGTTAATATATGTTATATGTTAATATGTTATAATCCAGATCATCGTCCTTGCCTTATACAGGTTAAAGACTCAGACATTCAGCTTCTCACTCATCCAGCTGTGTTTTTTCTGTTGCAGATAAAATGACTCACCACTGTACCAAATTCTCTGGCCACTGGAAGGTAAGTTTGCTACATCTCAGCTTGCACTGCCATGTTTTCACCACACGGTTTCCCGTGGGGCTGGGACTTGTCTTGGCAGGTGATGGTCAGCGTGTGCCAGGCCTGCAGAAAGACCCAGAGAGTGTTAAAAAGCGCCCCCCAGTGGCTGACAGTGGCACTGCTGTCTCTGCCCTGCCCAGATCATAGTGTGGGACGAGGAGTGCTTCCAGGGCCGCCGGCATGAGTTCACCTCCGAGTGCTACAATGTGATGGAATTCGGCTTCGAGACGGTGCGCTCCTTCCGGGTCGAGAGCGGGGCGTGAGTATAGGGGACAGGGGGCCTGAAGGCCAAGAGGGGGGTATCTTGGAAAAGGGAGGCAAAGAAAGGAGACTGGACAAGAGGGGAAGTAAAAGGGGGAAAGGAGAGTGTGGGCACAGAGCGGGTGTGTGGGTGCTGCAGGAAGAGTGGGGATCTTGAGCCGTCTGTGGGGGGAGGTTCCTCACGAGGGGTCACTGTGGTCAGCTCACCCTCTCCTCTCCCCCTGCCCGTCCCAGCTGGGTGGGGTATGAGCATTCAGCCTACCAGGGGCAGCAGTTCGTGCTGGAGCGTGGCGAGTACCCGCGCTGGGACGCCTGGAGCGGCAGCAACGCCTACCACATCGAGAGGATGACCTCCTTCCGGCCCATCGCCTGCGCGGTGAGTATCGAGCAGCGCACCACCTGAGCCCAGGCCTGCTGGCTGGCGTCTGCGGCCCTGTCTTCTAACAGCGCCCCCTCTTGACAGAACCACCGGGAGTGCAGGATGACTATCTATGAGCGCGAGAACTTCCTGGGTCGCAAGGGCGAGCTGAGTGACGACTATCCATCACTGCAGGCCATGGGCTGGTGCAACAACGAAGTGGGCTCTTTCCGTGTGCAGTCTGGGGCGTGAGTATCTCTCTGTGCGCCTGTCCGTGCCTGTCTGCACCTGTCCACACTTGACTGCATCTGACTGCGTCTCTCTGAATCTGTCTGCGTCTGACTACCTTTCTCTTCGTCTGTCTGCGTCTCTCTGTGTCTGCATCTCTCTCTGTCTGTCAGCAGCTGAGCAAGTGCCTAGCTGACATTACACACATGAGAGGCCTTGCCACAGGAGTTAATTTACCTCAATGAAATGAGATAAGACAACACCAAAAAGGGTAAAAAGTCACAGCACAGCATTTGAAAATGGACAGAGGTTCAGAAGGAACTCTGACCTCATCCACCTTCACTCTCCTACTTACCAACATCCCTGTTCCTGAGCTCCTCCTTGCAACCCTTCTCCACCCTCACAGTGGCTCCCTGGCTCATTCCTTGCCATGTTGAGTGTCCTGTTAGCCTCATGCTTACAGTCAAGATGTTCAAGTCCTTGGCTCTTTCAATTGCTATCCTAATCAGCTTTGTTGCTGCATCACAGTTTTTATCAAACTACAGATAATTAAATTCATGTTTAAATCTCAAAATCCCACTTCATCACTGTGTCACTCTGCTCTCTGTGGCTCCTGCAGTGCGGGGAGAAAGGCTCTAATCCCACTGCCTGTGTGTCTGTTTCCCTCCCAGCTGGGTGTGCTACCAGTATCCTGGTTACCGTGGCTACCAATACATAATGGAGTGTGACCGTCACTGTGGGGAGTATAAGCACTGGAGGGAGTGGGGATCTCACGCCCAGACCTTCCAGATCCAATCCATCCGCCGCATCCAGCAGTGACCCTGAGTCCAGCCTTCAATAAACTGTCTTTCTTAAACTATACCTGCTGTCACTGGCTCTCTGTTCAGAATAATATTCTAGACCTGTTGTGATCAGTCACTATGCTGTGTCCATATCAACACACTGTACTGTACAGATCAATCACTGAACAGATTAATACACTGCACTCTGTTCAAATCAATCAGTGTACTGTTCAGAGCAAATCACTGTACTGTGCATACCTTTCATTGTACTGCACAGATAAATACATTACTCTGTGTCAGGATCAATACACTACATTCTGTTCAAACAGACCAATCACTGTACTGTAGGGATTAATACATTGCACTGTGTTGATCAATCGCTGCACATTGTCCAGATCAATACACTGTATCTCTATGATCTTTGGCGTAAATATCGGTACCCAGGCTTGCCAAGTATTGTGCAGAATGTGAGCTGCATTGCTCTGTCTGCTCTGTAGATACACTGTTTTAAACACTGCTAGGGTGAAGCAGAGCTTTGAGTGTCCTAGGAATCTCAGCTGTCATAAAGATATAATAAATTAATCAATATGGAAATACTGTATCTCTGCCTGCAGCAGCCTCTCCTCCTGCTGTCTGAAGAAGTTTCCCAGCCAGTTGGAGATATTACTTCTGCAAAGACACACCCAGCAGAGCCTTCCTGACCAATGAGGGTTTGGGGGTGTTCCTGAGGGCTGAGTTCTGCAGCCAAGGTCGGAACAGGCAGCACAGGAGACAGACAGGAGAACCACTGGCAACAGGAGACAAGAGGACAGTGCCTGGACATTCGCAGTGCAGCTGCTATTCTGTTGGTGAGGAAGAGGAGGGACATCCCATACAGTGGAGACAGAGACTCACCCAGCTCAGGGCACCACAGTCCTCTCCACGAAGCGCTGGACACTGACCACGGTGAAGAGTCTGACCTCTTTCCCTCCAGCAGCACTTGTCTCCCTTCTGCTTTCTTCCTATCTGTCGATTCACCTCCTGCATGTGCTGGTCCATTCTGTGGAATGAATTCAAGTGTAAAACCTGTGGTGTTAGAGGAAAGGCTGTAAGATATTTGACTTGGCTGTATGAAGTAGGCAGAGAGAATTTGTTGATTCCATGTTCACTTTTGGGGGACACAGTGACACAGCGGTTAGCATTCTGCTTCGCAGCACTGGGACCCTGGGTTCAATTCCAGACCTGGGGTGCTATCTGGGTGGAGTGTTCATGTTCTTCCCGTATTTGTGGGGGTTTCCTCCCGCAGTCCAAAAAATACACTGGTAGGTTAATGGGAAAATTGACCCTGGTGCAAGTGTGTGTGTGTGCCTGCCTTGTGATGAACTGGTGTCCTGTCCAAGGTGTATCCTGCCTTGTGCCCTATGCCTTCCAGGACAGATTCCCCGGGACCCTGATTTGGAATAAGTGGATAGATGTTCACTTTCCTTTCTCTCGCAGTTTATTGGTGTCACACAAAAAGAGTGAGAAAAATACTGATGAGACCTGCTTCTACTCGCTGCAGAGTTTTGGTATTCTCTGGCTGTGTTTGTGCTGCAACATGTTTTTCAGTGAAGCCAGCACACGTAGATGTTATTGATCTCTGCATTAATGATCAACAGGAGCACACTGTGCCCTTGATACTCACATGCCTGGATCATCTGTTTATTCTGTGCTCTTGTGAGGAGGACCCTTCCTGAGCCCCCACATGTGTTTTGACCAGTCTTACTCTGCCAAACATTTGCCAGTAACAGCACAGCCGGTCACCCTGGTCAGCTGTGCATGCAATTCAGTAAAAACAGACACTGTACAGAAACATCTGTGGTGTTAGGTCTAATATTAGGATTAGAGCTGACATAACCAAATTTACTCCAGCTACACACTGCTGGGGTGGACAGTGGTTTCAAACATTTGAGTTGTGATTTCACTATAAGGTCTGAGCCTGATGTTGTTCCTCCTGCTGTCTCTCTCTCCTGACCTTGCCATCTTTCACGGACACTGGGCATCCCATCTCCTCCTCCTCTCCCTGTCTGTCCCACTCTTTACCCATTTCCCTCTCATCCCAATCTCTCTCTCAGACCTCTGCACCCCGCGTTTCCTCTCTTTTCTCTCAGAACAGCAATGGACCGTGACGATGGCTATAACAAATTCCATAACACAGAGCTGGAGACCAGTTACCATGGTAACAGCCTCTTCTCGCATGCAGGTAAGGCTGGCCCACACCTGCCACAAGGTGACGCCCATGTGCCAGAGCTGTGCACGGAGTACTGTAACTCTCTGTGTCTTTCAGGGAAACGCTGGCCCTGCCTGCTGCATACAACTCTCCTTATGCTGCTGCTGGTCCTACTGCTTCTCACGGGACTGAAGTGTGAGCATCTTCTCCCTCGATTTGACTGGAAACACTCTGGCACTGCAGCACTGACACTAACACAGACTCCTTCCTTCCTGCTCACTTCCTCTTCTCTGCCTCAGTCTCTTTAGTCCAGCAGGAGGTCGCAGAGGTCAAGCTCCTCCTCCTGGGCATGAACTCCTCAAAGGCAGAGCCTCAGGGTGCCACCCTCAAGCAAACAGGTGAGGTCTGAGACTGGCAGGACAGATACCGAATTCCTGCACCACTGAAGTAACCCACAACACTTGCAAATATTAAAACGTTAACAGCGACACATCAAGAAAAAAAATGTAGCCCTGCACAGATAGGAAAACCTTTTCAAATCCTTCCCTGTCCACAATGAACCATTGCAATATTCCAGTGCTCCCTGGACAACCCTGTCTGTGCCCTGCAGCAGTAACCCTGCTCCTCAGGTACACTGCACAGCCAGCTCCACTCTTTGCTCTTCCTCTCCCAGCAGGACTGGCAGTTTCCTACACTGAGGGAGGTGAGTACATTTGTTTTTCATATCTGGGACAAAGTTACACAAAGAGAGCTGCTCACTGCAGCTCCCTAACATGCTGACGGTCAGACCCAGGGAACTGCAGCTGCAGGTGCACACTCACCTGGGACTGTACATTGTCCAGATATCCCTCTGTCCCCATGTGCTGAGCAGGGGACTGTGGTGAGGGCTGGATCCAGTTCAAGATGAGCTGCTACTTGATGGCCACTCAAAAGAATAGCTGGCATGATGCACAGACTGCATGTGTGCAAGAGAGAGCGCACCTGGTGGTCATCAACACTGCAGAGGAGCAGGTGAGAGAGGGGAGCTAAGCAAAAACACTGAATAGATGAGTGAGGAGTGTGATCAGGCTGTGTAGATGAGTGAGGAGTGTGATCAGTTCTGTATAGATGAGTGAGCAGTGAGCAGTGTGATCAGTTCTGTGTAGATGAGTTAGCAGTGAGCAGGGGTATGTGTACAGAGAAGGGATGTTCAGGTGTATAATGGCCTCTTTGTCCTTCTCTCTGGTAGGATTTCTTCTCTGAACAAGTGGACATTGCAGTGAGGCAGGTCTTCTGGATCGGGCTACACGACAGGAGTGAGGAATCCAAGTGGGAGTGGGTAGACGGCACAGACTTCAGCTCCACCCCACAGTAAGCAGCCCCCTGGGCAGTTAAAGGGGTTTGTGGAGGAGTAGGAGGAACACACTCCAAACAGTCCCCCTACAATCTGTTTTTGACTAAACTGATATATTCATATTGAATCAGGGAATGAGGTTGTCTCAGCGTGGAATGTGTCCTGCTTGTGTAACTAACTCCATGGGCATTTCAGCAACAACTCAAGCAGAAAATACGAGCTACATCATTACATCATACTGAGTTAAAACTGATCCTGACGTAGTCAGGATGTTGGTGAACTTGGTCAGGTGGTACATTATTCAGCTTTCTGCCCCTCTCTCTCCCTGTCACCTTTCCCTCTCCCCCTCTCTGTCTGTCTCTGCAGTTTCTGGGACCTTGGCCAGCCTGACAACTGGCAGTACTCTAATCTCGGGGAAGACTGCGTGCAGTTGCATCGCTATGCCATAGAGCCAGGGCGCTGGAATGATGCAAACTGTGACCTTCGCTTCCGCTACATCTGCGAGAGGGAGAGGAAATAAAGAATAGTGCCCCCTATCACCCAGCACAGGAACAACAAACAACAGGAACTAGTGTCATACAACCCCAATCGATTTTTAAATCAGTTTTACTCTTATATGCCGCCAAAGAAACACATCTGCTTCCTTTGTAGAATCAATAAAAAACACGACTGAGCTGCATGAAGTTTTGCTCTTTTATTGTGAAATCCTCGACAATTATAAATAAAGACAGAGAAGCAAATGAATTGGGTGTTTGGCTGTAATCTAAATGCTGCACTGATCTGTACAATGCAAACCTAGGTGAGGCACCTGGGGAGAGGGATCACGGTGAGGACAGAAAAAGAGTGCTGGTGCAGGGAGGGTGGATTGCAGACCAGAGGGCAGAGGAGGGTCACTGGCACCGGCCCGAGGGCAGAGGGGATCACTGACAACGGTCAGAGGGCAGCCTCTTGTTCTCCTCGTTGTATCCTGCGGTGCTGAAGCACATGGCCGCCTGGCGGTCACACTCACAGATGAACCTCTCACACTCGTCATTGTTTTCTGAGAGGAGGAGGGTGGAGAAGAG